AATGCAAACTGGCATTTCACCAAGTCACGGGTTTGGGATCAAATTGTCGCTTCTTGTCCTGCACGAACGTGGTCACAGATGAAGAAGTGTTTTGCCCGGGCAGCAATCTTGTACGCATGTAAGACATGTAAGTTATCCTGCCTTGACCAGCGTGCTTTCCAAAGATGCAGGGAATACCCGGTACCTTGAGGCATCTGCAAACAGGTCGATGCTCCTGATCCCGGGAAGGCAGTTGCAGTCGTGCTGCTCCATGAGCTTCGTGGCCTCGACCAAACCACCTCGGTCGGTCGAGCGACAAACATCCGATTTCAGGGATGGCCCCGCCGCGTGGCCCCGGCAGTTGAAGAGCTCCACACGGCCCCGGAAGGCGGAGCTCGCTGCTGCGTAGCGCTTCCGTAGGGACAGGAAGACCTCCACGGACAGCACGCTGACAGCACGCTGGCAGCGCGGCTTAGCTCCGTGGAACTGCGGCCTCTGCATCTGGTTCGAAGAGAGTCGCGGTGTAGTTCCTCATACGATACGAGCAGATCCAGATGCTCAGACAGGCCCACACGCTTCGTGCACATGCGGCACATGCTTAGATTGCCAAGCATCAAGTAGTTTATCAAATAAAACGAATTGGAATTCCAGACCTGGGCTGCGCAGAGCTGTGACTACGACTTGCTGCAGTGAGCCTAGTGTCAACCTCCGATCTTCCTAGAGGTTGGTGACGTATGTCCTCTGTCCTAGTCCTGCATGTGCTCACTACGGATAGCCAACAGCATCCTGGGCACGCCATCATTTGCACCAATGTCCCAAACGCAGCCCCCCGCAGGAAGGTTCATGCCCATGCCTGAGAGCATCAAAACTTTTGCAGAGACTGTGGCTGAGGCCAGACCTGATTGGAGCACCTTCGAGGCGGTAGAAGAGCTGCCCCTCCGACAGGTCCTCAGCACTAGGCACGCTGCTTGCCAAGTGCGGCAGTGTAAGAAAAAATATGTCGGCTTAGCAAACGTTTTCTTTAAAGGTGTGGCCCAGCCCCTGTTGGTTTCAAAGCATGGAAGATACATTGGTGCAAAACAGGATCCGGCAAATTCCAGCTCTCCAAGTAAGGCATGTGGTAAGACATACCTTTAAGAAAATGTCGTGCATGTAATTTCTGTAATGTACAGCGTCTACCGTATGTGGCATGTATAGTATCTACATATGTAGTTTATGTAGCATAAGTAGAATATACAGAAAACAGCATATAAGTTCAACAGAGATGGTATGAGAACTGTATGTACGTCGACATCTACTATGTAGTTATATATATATATGTACACAGCACAATGTAAGGATAATATACATGTATGCAGAAGATTCGAGTAGATTTTTGTGTGGTTGATGTGAAGTATGTAGATATAGTGCTCATACAGTACATGTACAGTGAATGTGTACATGTATGTATTTAATTATTTATTTTCTATTTACAGACACACATACACATTGCTCAATCACACATTTTGTGTTAAACGCATATTTATGTGTACAGTGTGTGAGTGGGAGTTGTGCAGTCTGATGCGCAGAAAGGCTGAAGGCGGTACCGGGGCAGGGCATGCAGGGATCTTGGAGGGTAAGCCTATAGATGTATATATACATACATACATACATACATACATACATACATACATATATATATATATATATACGTGTCCTATATCTGTATATGCATACACAAGTATATAAGTGAAAATATGAGTACATATGTATGTACAAATGTATACACACGTCACAGTATGTATATGCACCGTGTACACATATACATGTGTATATATATATATATATATATATAAACAACGCAAGGCTGCTCCTCTCCAACTCAATCAAGAAGTGCGACAATCATGTTCGCACACCGGTTAAAACAGCTCGTGGAAGAAAAGCACCATATTCAATACTGCAAGGGTGGAACCAGTTGTTTTTGTCCATGACGGCTGGTTTGTTGAAAACCAGATGTATGACAACGTGTGATTAGTACATATGCATGTACACTGTATACATAGAAAATGAATGTATGTGTATATACAGAAATACGTAGGTAAGTATGTATACATGTATGTATGATGTATGGAGGGAGAATGCCGACAGCATGTTGGTAGAAGCAGATATACGCATACACATGTCCGCCGTTCTCGCTTTTTTAAACATACACGTCGCACATGCTAACTATGCTCAATGTGCGTGAGTATATATATATATATACATACATACACAGATATATGCATGGCAAGAACATGTAATTCCCCCGTTCAAACATCGGCAGCACATTTACCCCTTTAATTTGAATCGTTACAGGTTGACCCTTGACTCTCCCCTCAGAAACTCCATGAAACCCTCTGGCCGTGCATCCGCTTAATTTGAATGGAAAAACCACAACTAACAAGCAGCAACAGCAAGAAGCATGCACCGCTAAAAAAAAGAACTGCGAAACTGACAAGAGACGCACCGAGCGGATGTACAAGAAAATGACACCGAAAAGCAACGTTAAGAACTTCTTTGCAGACGGTACGAAGCCATTAAAAGCAAAAGCGATAAGTGGAGAGTAAGGACCAAAGCGGAAACAAACAACAGCACAGAGCAAGAAGCAGAGAGAAAGGAGCAAAAGCTGAAAGGAAAAGGCAAGAAACGAAAAGAAACCAAGTAAAAGCGGGGAAAAAGCAAGAAAGCAGGGGGAGGAGGCAGCAGGGAAGGTCCTGCACCTGAGCCACACATGCAAAGCTGCTTCCGATCCCGACGAACGAAGACTTAGAGATACTTTTCATGCGAACGGAGCCGATCGTGACAAGCGAACAGGTGCACTAAGCGGTATACAGGGAGTTGCATCTGTGCAGCAGTGGGTCGGACATCAGCAGCGGTGCAATCAAATTGTTGAAGCGCACGAAACCAGTCCGGACGAATCGATACCTGCACAACAAAAGCCTGCTGTACAAGACAGCGGCAAAGGATGCCCCCGGCCTCGTGGCCCATTGCCAAACGAAGAGAATCGCAAATGCCAGGCTTACAAGAGCTGTCTTCCACCGGCCTTTCCAGCCGGCGGCAATGGGACCTGATCAGGAGGCCAGTTTGCTGTCGGAAACAAAGAAGCCCGTTGGGTGCCTGCAGTCAGATCATAGCAGCTCCTTCGTGGATGATCCTGCGTGGACATCAGGCTGTAGTGGCTCACGCTCAGAACTGTTGCGGGGATACGCTCATGTGCACCCCTTCTTTGGATTGGACAACGTTCCAAGCTTCTCGTCCTTCATGACCGCCAGCTTCACACAGCATTGCACTGGCAGCGTCTGCAATGGCTTGCACGGCCCTTGTCATTGAAGCTCAGATGCCCGATGCAAAGTCAAAGAGGCTTACTAGCTCAAGTCGGCGAAGTCGGAACATACTTGAAGTTTGAGAACCGCAGATGTAAGTTCGATACATGTTGATCTAGTAGATCGTTCAGAGATCCCTGGCAGCTTTGGCCAAGCTTGACCGAGAAAGAGAGCATGCTGGGACACGACGAGGTGGATCTAGGATTAAACTGGAACACAAAACTGCTAGCAAAAAGTCACTATCCTGCCAAGCCTTGAGGTTCCGAACGACTGGAGTGCTGTCACGAATTCCAGACCACCACCTTGCAAGAACACAGTCTGAAGAAGATTCCCGGTACATGCATTCGATCTGAAGTCACCTTCGAGCACCTTCGGCAACGTGTCCGCGTCACTGTATGTGCAAGTTCTCTGTACGAGTCTGAACAAGCCACGCATGTACATGGCCGAAGCCTTCAGACCTTAAAGTTCCAGCCCTCATATCGAAGCTGCAGTAACGCCTCACCACACAGTAGACATGTCTGGTTCTCTCAACAATGGTGATGGTGACGGTGTTGATGATGACAATTATGCTCATGGTTCAAACGATCCTGACGAGTGTGCTGTGTGCTGAAAACAACTCCAGATAGCCATGATGATGATGATGATGATGACGACGACTACGACGATCACGATGATGATGATGATGATCATGGCGATGACGATAACGATAATATCCATGCCAGCGCTGGCGCTGTCGCTGCCACTGGCGCTGCTCGTGACGGTGATGGTGATGATGATGACCACCATCATCATCATCATCACCATCATAATTATCATCGTGGCCTGATGGCCGCCGGTATGACTGTCATGAGACAAAGATGAGCACGACGCCAAAGACCGAGAAATATCTGCAGAACGCCTCAACAGTGCCAAGCTGCTCTTGACCGCGACATCACGGGACGAACAAGACGTCAGTTGCTGCTGAGTGTGGTGCTTCTTGTCTCTCAGCGACGCGAAACCAATTCTCTGAGTCATACGGATACACTTCCAGCCTATATCAACGCACGACCACCCGTGAATTCAAGGGCTGCGAGTCGGTGCGCTGAACCCTTCGTGTGCTCGGTGCTTCGAACGACCGGCCATCATCGTCAAAGCCACTGCCGGCCCAGAAGACTACACAAGTTTGGCTGTCAAGGACTGAGGCGCTAGGCACTTGTCTTTTTGCAACATCTGGGGCCCACGCGTGAACGTCAGGACCTTTGCTGAATTAGTTCGAGGTGAAGGGCGCAAAACAACAAGGTTGCAGTGGCCCTGTGTTAGCTCTTGATATTCGTCAGCTGAAGCGTCCAAACGCGTCCAACAGAGAGGGCTCCAGCACTGGCAAGGAACCACCCGGCCACCCTTTTTCGTAAGCAAGGCTTCTGAGCATGCATGCGTTGGTGAGACCGCTTCGAGGCTTGAGGCTTGCAGAGCACTCGAACAAAGTTGAGGGAGACCATAATATGCCATGGAGGGTTTGCATGCTGAAAGCTCATGCATATCATCTTGCGCAAGGCTCTCCAAGGATTTGGGCAGGGCGCATTGGCTGCATGCAACGCTGCGAGAAAGCTGCCGCCGCAGAGATCGCAGCTTCGCGAAACAGTTGTTGCCGCAGCGGGCCAGCGCAAATCTGGAGTCCCAAGTGAAACATCAAGGAATTCCTCATTGGTTCTCCTTAGACCGAACTACTCTCATGAAAGCCGAGCCCCAAGTTCACACGGACATGGACATGTCTGCATGTGCAGGACGCCAAGGCGCAATGATCTTCCTTACAAACTCTCCGTACTCGCATTCACCACCTAGGAATGGGACCCAGGGACCAGGCCCCGGGATACGTGGATGCGACACAAGACGCAATCATGACTCGCCCAAAGGAATTTGGCCAGATGACTGTTGTCATCGTCGGCAGCTTGAATCATCTCCTCGGCCCTGAGTCACGTGCAAGAGTCGTCGGAGGGACGGGACACGACAGCTCTAAACTTCGTGACAGCAAGCAAGGCTCCGCTGCTAGCATTGTCACTGCTCGCGGTTGTTTCCGGCAAGCCAACACCCAACACAACAGCGCTGGACGATTGAGAGAGTCTAGATGCTGCACAGCTGGCCGGCTGTGCTGGCTGGACTGGAATTGTGGTCTGGAAATATTGCGAAGCGAGTGCCACTGGATAACAGTAACGAGGGCTTGCGGACTTGGGTCCTCCGACGTTCCGAACAAGAAGGTAGGAGAATAGGAGAAGCAGGGGTCAAAGGCATCCAGCAGATTCGGAGGGTTAAACTTCGGCATCTCAGCTCCCGGCTGCAACGGGTTCACCTGCAGGTGCACAGTGAGCACCCTGCTCCATTCTGAAACTTCCCCTCTCGCCGCTCGCCTCGAAACCCAGCTTGCAAAGCACATCTTGAAGCTCGATAGCATCGATCGTCCCGCTTTTGTCCTGCTCCATCGCGACAAAAACGCCTGCAAAAGATGGACACCCCAAGAAGCATCTCCTTGTCAAAGATTTTGAAGGCATTCACCAGCTCGTCTTCGGTGATCATCGACCTGTCAAACCTCGCAACGGGACTCGGAACACTCTGTCGTGCCGAAGGCTAAGAGGCTCGACCCTCAGTGCTACAAAATTGAACCACTGCCCATCAAACGCAGACGAGGCCACTTGGCCATCAGTTTCACGAAGCCTTAGCTTGACACTAGCAGACGCCTTGCAACGGTTCGTGGCGCGGAGGTGCGGAAGCCCAAGCAGCTACCGCTGCCCCTGCTTGTCAGTCGAAGCACGCTGGAAGTCCAGGATCCCCTTTCCGTGGCTATCGATGTCATTCATGACCTGACTAAGCAAGCAGCAAACAAGTGTGTTCTTCGGCGGAAGATAACGTTGCGGAAACGATCCTCACCGCGGGCAATGGTGCACAGGCATCTCAATGACTCAATTGCAGCTTAGAGGCTTGCAAGAACCTGGCTTGGATTGCAACCAGATGCAGGCCACAGAACTCATGCTTGGACCAACTTGCCCGAGTCAACACTGGCTCCAACTGAGCTTGGGCGCTGCCGATCCGTAGGCTCTTCTCCAAGCCAGGCTAGGGCAGACCGGATCTGGCAGGCAGCACAGTACTACGCGGCACATGGCTTAAAACCTTGCACAGACTCCCAACTTTACCTACGGCACTGCTCGTCAATATAGCACTCAGCAGGATTTCTCGCCTGCATGGCGTCTATCTTGCCATCCTGCTGTGAAACAGGTTTGGGTTTGCGGGACAAGCGACGCCCATCGTTCTTCGCATGAGCGTTTGAAACACGGGCAGTTTCTCACCCTTCTGCAGATTGCCGAAAACCGACACAGAAAGAACCCTTTGCAGAGGCCAGAGGCCAGTCCCCGAGCACGTCGTAGAGGCGGAAGGCCCAGCAGAAGTCTCGAAGCTCAGAGTCTCGGAAGCCACACCTTTGGAGCCGCATGCAGCCCCATGGCTCCCCCACATGCAAGGCGTGGCATGCGTGGCTTGGAACTGGGAACGCAAATCCTTGCCTGTCAGCTAAGAGGTACGACTCCGGAATTCCATCCACTCGTACCCTCTCCTCCGGTTCTTCACCTGGTGTTCCGCCACACGGCACAGGAACTGCAAGACTGTCAGCGACAGACATAGACAAACAATGACGAACTGCGTGCTCAAGTCTCACATCTACACTGAAAAAGCAGAGGAGCCCAGTGACATGGCTCTACAGCACGCCGAAAGCTTCGCGCTTGCGGCAACGTGGTGTCTGAGCCGAAATTTCAGGGGCCATCTTCGCAGCATCTTCATGCCCGAGCGCGTGGCTATGCGTGGCTCATGTCTTCTGTGCGATGCAAGGTAAAGGTCCACGCTTCCGAGGAGAGGTTCGTCGCCGATGCCGCCGAGCAGCCTGGAGTTTGCAGCTTTCGGGCCCTCCGGAGATTAGAGGCCTTCTCTGAAAGGTCAGACGAGCCGCCCTTCATCGCGCCTGCGTGCAACACCGCCAACTGAGGGTGGGAAACTCACTCATGGAAATTGATAGCGCCCTACTGGGAGAGGAGTGCGTTTGAAGATAAGGAAGCCGCCTCGCTGACATATCAATGGGTCTTCTACTACTGTCTGGGGCAGGCATATTTCTTTCGGCTCCCGATGCTACTGGCTTGCCCGTCTTTGCAGGACTTGCCGAGGGCCTGAGCCCACACATTGCCGACTATCGTAGGCTGAGAAGTTGTGGTCACGGGTAGACCCAACAACTCCGCCAGCTCAAACCTCGACCAGACAGTCTTCACTGGTGAGCGATTGTCTGAGATCATCGGTGAGCAGGCACGTGTGTGTAAGTCACAGCACGGCCGGAAACGTGGACAAAATCAACCCTGAAAGGTGGAAGGCCCCTCCACGACGCACGTAGGAATGCTATGCAATGTTCCTTCCATGTCGCTCTGCTCGGAGATCAAAGCTTGGGGGCATTGGGCCAAGCATCCGAGCAGTAGCCGATGGCCTGAAACAGCGGTCACAAAGCTTGAATTGAAGCTGCCTGGAGCGAAACTGCCACGCCTAAGCCCGACTAAATCTACATAATTCCGTGGTCGCTATATCTTATATCCCTGCTACGGCATTTGATCTTCAACCTACGTAGCTGTCGTAGCTTATATGGCAGCACAAGCCCACTTGGCACGTGGCGGCTGCCCTCACGCACGATTCAGCAGCCTGTATGATGGAGGCCACGAAGATCGCCATGCTGCCAACCACATCGGCCACATTCGCTCCGCATAATGCTTCCCGCTTGCCTCCAGTCGGGATGAATTTGATCTATCTCTCAGCCATGAACGCAGAAACCCTCACGCCTCGCTGAGGGCAATCCACGAAGGTAAATGACAGCATCTGCGCAGTGTACGCAAAGGAGCCAATGACATAAAGGACGTCCACCGCACATTCCTGAAGCGGTATATGGTACAGGAGCAGGTTTGTTTTGCAAGCGTGGGATCCACAGCAGCGGCCTACATATATCAAAGGCGCGTGGTTCGGCTTTTGCGGCTTGGTTTGCTTGTCACCCGAACCCAGGAGGCTCTCTGTCTGGCAACACTTCTTACTTGGCCAGATTACATCCAAGATGGTCCAAGGAAGTAGCACCATTCTAAAAGAGTTCAGCTCTCTGTGTTACACTGTCTGCTGCTGAGCAGGGTGAAACTGAAAAGAACTGGTGGAGATACTTCCAAGTCTGCTTGCGACTGCTGGACCCAACCGCTGATTGCGACCCAAGGAGCCTTCCGATTGCCGCAGGAGCGAGCAGCATCATGGATGGAGAGAAATGCTCGTATGAGCCAAGCCGCGGCGTCCACACTGTTGAATACGCACTGTGCGATCGCAAAGCCTCTTTCCCTCCCCCTCCGTCTGAGTCGGGTAATATTTCGAATCTTCTCGATCGTCTGGTCGTCGTCTAGGAGTCGCGTGTCAATTCCAGCAGTCGCCGCTTCGAAAAGTACGTTGGGCAAAGCAGCATGATGCTTGTCGGGCCGCTTGCTGCTCTTGTCCTGCAACCATCTGCGCACTTCCGCCGACTTGTTGCGATACAGCCCGGTTTTGTGGCCGTCATCGGAGGGGCTTGGAAGGACCTTGAACTCGTCCAACCGGCCTCGGGCAAAGCGGGCGGAAGCACTCAGGAAAGACATACTTGCAGAACAATGACTTTCAAAGCGGCATGCCGCCAGTGCGAATGTGGCACGTCTTTGTTCTGGTTTAAAGGGCTGGTTCAGAGAGTAGATCTTCTCCAATATGGGTGGAATCTTTCTTCTGTCCTGGTAGACCCGACTGTCCATCAAAGGCCTCAGTCAGAGGGCCGCCAGGGCCGCCAGGGATGCCAGACCCCAACCACAAGCCGCAGAAGCTGACATCAAAAAGACACACCGTTCCCCCCAAAGCTAGGGCCAGGCGGCTTGGTCAGGAGGCAATCCTCTTTGAAGCCAAAGACCGTGGAGCCCGCGGCTGAGAGGTCGCGAAGCCTTGGGTCTTCTGCCGCTCAGCCCATGGCGCTTGAGGCTTTTCTGACCCATCCGAGGCACGTGGCGGCAATGCAGGCACTTGCAGGATTCAGCGACTCCGCACAGGAAGTGGAAGCGCTGGCCAGGAAGGAGCCCAGCCAGGTCAAAGCCTCAAACGTCACACGGGAACCCCAAGCCCTACCGCCCTACTGCACCGCACGATTGAATGGCAAGTTCTGCAAGATGTCTTGCGCCGAGCCACTGTGACAGCATAGGCGACTGGTTCCGTACACCCCAGGGGCTCGTTGTCAGGGCAAATCGCAGCCCTGTAGATGTAAACGATCGCATTTCCCAAATACATCGTTGCTTGAGTGATATCGATGACGCAAGTGGTTTTAACGACCTCAGGGCTGTGCGGCGAACATGCAGTTTCAGTCCCACGACTGCCCCACACCCTGGCCTGGGATTCCTCGGGCTCCGAGCTGTAGGGCACGTTAATGTTGTCGAACAAGCTGACATCAAAAAGCTCCCGCTCCAGGAGGAAGTCAAAGCGGTCTAGGTGGGTTGAGCTCCCACTTCTTGCAGATATCTCTTCGGCTTGGCTTCGCCGCGGCTGAAGGGAGATCGTGCCCAAAATTCCCAGGCAAAAGACAGCACCGATGGTCACTGAGATCTTCCTCGTCCCCCTAAGAAAGCCGGATGCAGTGCCGGCCTCGAAATCTTCAAGGTCTTCAATGGAATCCTCGAATTCTTTGCCGCCATTGCCCTCTTCGGCCAGAAGGGCCATATCATGTACAAGGGACCGCTACTTACAGCATGTGGAGCCAAAGTCGTTTTTTCGATGGACGATGATGGACGGCATGCGGCATACCCAGTGTTCAATCGACTGATCTTTCTGAAGCCTCAACCTCTCACAGTGGTGTGTCCCCTACCTCTCATCTTGCTTTGGCTATCCTTTGCTCGCGCCCTGCTTTCAGCTCAGCCCCCGACCATGTCGTCTACGATGCCAATCGCCCTATATCGCCGGAGCTCCCGCTTCCCTGCGAAGGGCCGATGCCCACACAAAGCAAACATGCGATGCACCTGTCATCCTGTCAGATTGCCGACATGGGACTCTCGAGGTCCCAGATTCGATATTCACAAATGAGCACATAATCCGTAAAGAAGCCCGAAGCCTGAACTGAAACAAGGATGGTCCTCCGATCCTTGACATCGTCAGCCCCGCGAGATGTGTATTGTGCATGCGTTTGCGCGAGCACGCACACACCTTTTTGTCTCTGCAGGGTCGGCTTCCCACACTCTGCAGGTGGTGCCCCTTCTCAACTCGCTCACTGCGATGAAGGTGGAACATGAGCTGAGGCACTGCAAATGCCGCTCTGGGACCAGCTCTGCCTTTCAACCGAGAGCTGCTAGCCCCGGAAACCGTGAAACCAAAGGACTCGTAGTAGTTTGCCCAGGTTCTGTCTGGTCATGTCTGGGCGTGGTTTCTGTGAGAGGCGCAGCCGGTGCGTGCAAATTGCTGGCACACAAGGCACTCAGATGAAGTCTTGTGACTTGTCCAGCTGCTCTTTGCCTCGCAAGAAGTGTCAAACACCAGACGGGCAACAGACCAAGAGATCCCATCACCTCCTCAACAGGCAAAGGCACACGCCTGGGTCTTCGATCAAGCGATGCCACTGATCGGAAGTGCTGGACTTCCGCAAAGTCACGGACACCTGGCATAAGTTGCTGTGAAAATGCGTAAATTTCGCATGGTACTTCCATGTACTTCCTTGGTCACTGAAAGGAAGTCAATGCCACCAAGCTCACATAACAAGTTTGACAACACCCGTCCTGCCTTGTGGCCGCTTGCAGATAGGGAGCACTTGCACTCCTGCCCAAAAAAACAACCCGGATAAACAACGGGCAGAACACTTATCCGAGTGCAAGAGTTGCAAACTTGGATGCCTGCCTTTGCCTGCACGGGGCCAAACAAACGCCCTGAGAGGCGCCAAACTCGGCCACCAGGGCCAAGCAAGTAAAGCGACAACCGCCGCTCCTGCCACTAGCGTCGCCAAAGCGGCTAGCAAAGGCAGCTCCAAGCTGAAACTCCGCTAAAACTGCAAACGATGACTTGACCCTATCGGTCTCGTGTCAGGGATGATCCAGACGATATGTTTCAGCAGCACCGGCTAGCACTCACCTGGAAAGAAGCGTAGGCATCGGCAAACTGATCGATCTGCAGCTCTTCCGCCTTGACCTGCACTCGCAGAATCCCTGCCTACAGTCTCCATGGACCCTTTCTCTTCTCGTCCCATGCTTTTGGTCTTGCGCGACTCTGTCATGCAAGCGCACTTTGGACTAGAACGCTTTGGCTGGCAGTGGCCCATCAAGAAACATGCAGAATCATCTTTGTTAGATGATCCCACAGCAACTTGCAACCAAGAGTCATAGATTTTCACCGTTCCTGCGTTGAAGGACTGGCTTTGACAGCACAGGGCGCCCTCAGTATCCCCGCATCCCAAACATCCAAAACCGCTTCCGCGTGAATTCTTTTGTTAATCCCAGAGCTGTGCTATTACTCTCAAAAGAAATTGCGGTGACCTTATGGAGTTCTTACGTGAGGAATCAGCAATAGACTTGGTTACCAGGGCCCTTGCAATCGCGTGATGCACCTGTTCGCCATCCACCACGGACGCCGAATTCGTTGTTGAAACGAAGACTTTACTTTGACGCTACCCGGCTTGATTGATCGTGCTCTCACACCAAGCCTTCGCACATTTGGGGGTGTTTTTGCAGTGTGCGCGGCTGTTGGGCCTAAAACCGTGCATCAGCCAATCAGCCAATCAACCCTGAACCCTAAACCCCAAACCCAAAACACCCAAACCCCTAAACCCTAAACCGCAAAGCCCTAAACCCTAAATCCCTAAATCCCTGAACCCTGAACCCGACCACCCGATCAGCCCATCGGCTGATGCGCAGTTTGGAAACCCTCTTTGCGAGCACAATGTCTTTTTGCTTGGAGATTGCTCCTGCCACAGTCCCGTGCTCCTTTGGCCACTCCAATCGCTCGTGCATGCAAAGGCATTGGGGACTCTTCGCTTCCAGAAATCGTGTTCCCTGCACCATCCCACGCAAATATTGGGATGGGGCTCGTGTTCCTGCCACAATAGGTGGAGTAGCCCCAGGTGTGCCCTTCCAATGGTTCTTGGGTGCGTGGGGCTTGGACTGGGCTGCCCGGTGCTCGCTCAGCATGGTTTCGGAATGATTAATCTAGCGCTGTTTGCGCTGCCGACAAATCATGCCGTCCTACCGAGTCTTACCTATGTTTCTACGAATCGCAAAACCTGCTGTAGCAGGTTGGCTGGTCAAAACAAACCGAGCATCACAGGCGGATCTCTAGGAGTAAGTACCGGGCCATTATTTAAGTAGGAGTGGACGGAGGCACAGAATCTCAAACAGGTCCTTTCTCGCTGCCTTCGTCAAGGAACATGTACTTAGTCCTCAGCTGGACTCACGAACGACGGCTGTGAAAAAGGTCAAAGGCCGTGTCTGTCTTTACACGTTCATAGATCTTGAACGTCGGAAATGGCTGGGTCGCAGACATCTGCTCCGACTTTCGCAAGATCCACTCAGGCTCTGCAGTCGATGCAGCTTCATCGTCCTGTCTTTGACAGAACACGTTGGAGCAGAACTTGGCGGAGTGGCAGCAACCTCACTATATTGCAATCCGGCAAGGACCTGTTTGACTTGTTGAAGCAACTGGCAGGCAAAAATTGTTGAGAATCGCTCATGCTCCGCCTAGCAATCAGACGACCGTCGACCCGGCTGCATGCAAGCTACCTCAACATTAGTCTGTTCTTCTGGTCGGGAGTAACAGCCGCGATATTGAGAACTGACGGGCTCCATTGTCAAACATGGCAGGCCACGAGATTCAATCCCCCTTCTCGGGGCGAAGTGCTCTCGCCTCAGCACCAAAGTCATGGATGGCACGTTTTGGAACTTCGCTGCTGGCAGAACCGGACGGAGCCCTGAGCAAAGGACTTTGCCCTGTACAGGTCGGCACGTTTTCCAGCTCCTGGCGTTGTTCGTCACAGCGTCAGGATCAGTGACGTGATCCTCCGAACCAGAGATCCCACTGACACCCACCTCCTCGGATCCGGCAAAGAATCGTGACGTTACTTTCCGGACCTTAGATGAACACTTACAAGCGCAGACACAGAACTGTCCACCATGATGATACGATGAAATGAGGCAAGTAGCTGCGGTACCGAGATCCTCTAAAAGCTCGGCAGGAGAGCCTGATTTAAGCAGCATTGCACAGACTGCACAGCCAGGGCCAGAGGCTTGCCATCCGCGAAGTTGCGGGCCTCGCTCCAGAGCGGACTTCAGCGCCTGAGGAAGCCCGGCACATTGGCGGTGCATGGCCGCAAAGCCGCAGAGGCCGGCAAACGCTGGCAGTAGCTCAGTAGCAGATCTGTGAAGGTGGGGCTGAGGGCATCAGCCGGCCAAATGCCGATCTGTGACTTTGCAGAGGCTGTCAGGCATGGGTGCGGCATGCAGGCATGTGTATCCGGAGGATTCACGACGTGTAGCATCGCGCTCGTATATTCCTGCGTGAGGTGTATGGACAGCTATGGAACCAGAACACGACGGGCATTGGCAGAACTTCGATGCCACACAAAAGCTGACGTGCAAGGGACAGCATCTGCACAAAATCGGGAACCGCACCATTCGGCGCCGGAGGCAGAAATCACTCCGCCCCGAGAGTCGAGCAAATGGAGCTCATGGCCTGGCCGCCTCGAATCGTCTTGCGCTTGACTCTCTGGGAAACCTCTGCTTCAAAGGTGGCTTCTCTTACGTGCCAGCACCGTTGACTTGAGTCTCTCATGCGGCGGATCATCTGGCAAGTTTTGTCTGAGTGCATGAGCTCACTTGCCTTGTCGCCAGGCCGCTTCCTCCAAGGAGTCCCGGCGGCTGACTTGTGAAGTTCACCTCAAGGCTATCATGATTTCCAGAGCTCGCATACACTTTTGGCTTGGAAATGAAGGTATTGGTTGGTGGGCAACTGGGGAAACATGGAAGCTAAGGCATCGGGAATCGAGAGATGTGCAAGCAGCATCCGAAGCTCACACCAGGTCGTTTTCGTCACAGTGCGCAGTTGACTGTACACCTCTCATGCTGGGGCTTTGATCTGCACGGCCCTTCAGCTTACTGAGTCCTGACGCAAAGTTCCGTAAAATCCGGCTCATCCGCCTTATCTTTTCTAGACCCGCGTGTCCGCGAATTTCGTGCTGTGCCCGCTGATTCATGCGAGTCGACTCTGACATTTCGCTTTTTGCACCATACGACTCACTTGAGCACTGGAGATGAGATCTTCCTTAAGAACGTTGGAAGTGGATGCTGGTGCAGCGGCAGGTGCGGAAAAAGCTGGCATGGCAGCAGATGGGCACATGGCCATAGGGGGACCCCGACCTCTTCGTGCTGGAGCACTGGTGGCCATTCCCGGCATGCCAAGCTTTCCAAAGATACCCGCGCCGTAGCCGTTGTGCTGCTGGGGAGCCTCCCTGCCGAGAGCCTCCTTGACGTGCGCGAGAGATCGTTTCTCAGTGTCCAAACCCCAGCAAGCTCTGTTTGCATGTTTCATGTGCCCATCTGTTTCCATCTGCATGCTTCGCAAGCCCCCAGCTCGGAGGTTCTCACAGGCCCTCGTCGATGCTTCTTCGGTAGAGATCTCGCGGCCAGCACTGCGCTCTTGGACTTGAACCTTCAGCACCTCCTCCTCGACCTTTCGCTGCAGCTTGGCCAAAGCGAGCTCTTCCACACTTCCGTTGATGATCACATCCGCCAGCAGCGCGGCCTCCAAAAGCCCAGGGTCACTGCGACCAGAGGACGAGGAGGCGAGTCAGGCGAGTGAGTGAATGAGTGCAGCGGAGCAGAGCAGGGAGCGAGGGAGCGAGGGAGCGAAGGAAGGTGTGAGCAAGTGAGTGATGCCACCAAGATGAACATTCGAACGGACTGCTCCAACGTCAGGACTGCAAAATGAGGTGCCAAGGAGTGCAGATCTCAAAAATTCAAGTGTGCCACGATCTTGCCTTTGACTTTATTGTTGCTTGTCGGTCAGCCCCTGCTTGTAGCATTGTAGAAGGGGTCAAATGCGGCGAAGCGGCAGAGCTTAGGGCTACAGCTTGGCCGCCAGTGATTTCCGCGACGGTGCAAAGAAAGTCTCGTGCGTAGGCATAGCTGCCCAATGCCGGCTCGCAACCAACACTGTACCTCTTGCAAAGACTGTGATTGCAGAGCATCTGCTCAGTGACAAGATTCAACACACGTGACCTTGCAATCGTGAAACATTCTACCGTGACATGCCGAAGGCCAAGGACAGCACGCAGTGATGCCGTGCGCTGCCATGCTTCGGAGGATGTCAAGCGGGTCGCGACCATGGGGGTCACCATTGGGGAAGCCGTCACCAGCCCTTGGCATTTCAGCACTCTCCCCACATGTCGTGTGGCTCGTATCTCTCGTTTTGCTTCGATAGTCCTCTGTTGCGGCAGGTCACGGCTCCAGCCCATGTGGCGGGGCATCGGCGATGAGGACCTAGAACTGCACTGGTCCCCACAAAACTGGTACAGTAGCGGCAAGACACTATGGGAAGCATTCGGAAAAGATGCGCAAATCTTCGTCGAGTTTGGCCGCCAGGGTAAATGCAAGGCATCGTACAGACCTTAACGCAGCAAGCCCGACAGCTTGGCTGAAGCACTGTTCCCATCCTGCGATGACCTCACTCGTGTCGCATAATATCGCTGCACATGCTGAAACTCCAGCCCCGCATGAAGTCTCGTGCTTTCCATGTTGCTCGCGAACGTAGGCACTCGTAAGTCCTCCCGTCCCATGACCTCCTAGTTTCGACCCCGTGTAGCCTGCAGTCACTGCTTCCGGTCCGTCGCCTCCGCCACTGGCCTGAGCAACCGCAAGATCACTCTGAGATTAGTCAAGCATCGGCTTGAGAAGCGTGCCCTGCATGTCTCAACACCACGTCGGCAAACTACACAGAAAGTCGCCAAACATGTGCTGCTCAGCTGCCTTCATGGAGTCGACATACTGGGACATCTGGGCCAGATCGGTCGTGAAAGGATGGCATTGTGTGATGTAGGTCCTGTCCTTGAAAAGCTGCACGACTTACAGACGGCGCATGCACTTGTTCTTCGGTTCGACCTTCGTTCCAGCGGGCCCGCAATGCCCCCCAATGAAGACGTCCGGCAGTTTTTCAGAACCACGTCTAGAGCACACCTGCCTGAGGCGGGTGGTCGCGGTAGCAGATCAGGCCAAACTGAACCTGATCTTGTCCCAAGTTGAAAACGCGAGAGAGCATCAAGGAGTGCGAAGGCTTTCCGCAGAGCTGGCCTTGGCACCATGCTTCTGCGAAATCTTTGCGACGATGGACTGGATATTGTCCTCGAGCGATCAGCAGACTCTCGCCGGCCAAGACTTGCAGGAACACGTCGAAATGTGTCGAAACATGGTCCTGTGCTGCCTTGATGTATTGACCCATTGAGCCGGTGCAGTCGCCTTGCTTCGCGAAAATCTAGGGTTTCACCGGTCGCAGGCGGTCGAAAGTCTGCCGAGGCACAAATGAAACAGAGATCCAATTCGGCATCAGGGTCAAGACCAGACGTTCCTTGCCGTCAGGTGCGTTCGATTGCTCGCATATCCAAGCATCTCTGCAGCTGTCCTGTCTTCTCAGCATCATCGACGAGAATCCACTCCTGCCAACAGTACAGCACGGCCCAGTCCGACCTCCCGCCCGGCGGGCCTTCTCTGAGCTGCGGCCGTCAGAGGACGCTACAGCAGGGGCTGCTGGCAACTTGCTATCGGCATCCACGTCCATCGCAGCTTCAGCTCTGGCAGTCATCGTCGTGACACAGAAAGATCAAACAAGAATCCAAATGGCTGCGGTTCGAAGGCCGCTGTCATGAGTCCACGAGCTCGACGATCTTATGGCACAGCAGTGGAAAGTGATGCAGCGTTTTGAGAGCACGTGTCCCCCAATTAGGGACTGCACAAGGGAAGTTGGCCAAAGCCGGGCATGCCAGCGGTGTCAAACATTCATACCAGCAACTACACAAATGCGAGCAACTGGCAATAAGTATCACTGCAACGCATCTTCATCAACCTCTGTAAACTAGTAACCACTGCTGATTTTTGTCGCGGTATGCTTCTTCTGCGAAGCTTGCTCGCGATTGCAGGGTTTCTCTCTCGAGCCGGCATCGAAGCTGCACGCAACCCAAAATTTTGTCCTGTGGGCATCTGCACATTATGCTGGCCGTCATCATGGCAGACCCATCATGATCCACTGTCCCCTAAACCCCCGCTCGTTCCTGATCGGCAGGAATGTCTGAGCAATCAATGACCCAAACTCCCAGACACTCACCTGATGTCCTTACATGGAACTGTTGACGTTCTTCCTTCTCTGCTTCACGCCCAAGCGACGATGTGAGAAGAGCTGGCGGCGAGTGATTTATTGGGAAGCTTTGCCCCGGGTCGAAGGGCTGATTCACCCACGACCTGAAAAGGTTCTGTACAGCTGCCTAGTCCTCTGGAATCACCGGGAAAGATCTGACTGCTTTGCTTCCCTGCAACATGGAAAAAGATGTCATCGGCACGACCGACCATTGAGCGACACATCCGCCTCGGTGCTTGAATGCCTCTTGCTGGTCCGCCGGTAAGCCCTCAGCTTCCATCGACCACCAGGCAATGATTCACTCAGCAACGAGCCCAGACATCGGAGGTCATGAAAACCGTCCGAGCTTGGGCCGGCACAGCATGTAGTAGAAACCGTCCCACATCCAGCATCCGGCCTGTACAAGTACGGGCTCAACCTGCTTGATCTCTCTTCAACTCTAGCGAAGGGCTGCAGCAAAGCAGATTGCATGAGGTGTGACTGAAGCGGTGCACAGCCACCTGGACGGAGCCTGTCTCTTCAGATGACATTCCCTCCTTGTGCGGAGTCCTCAGGCTTCACTGTTGAGCCAGCTTGGCAACACGTTCTAGCACTGAGATCTCATGTGCACGAACACCACTAGATACAGCTCATGCTTCCCAGTGGCATTACGAAAGTCTTCGCGTCCACGAACACCTTACTGAGAATGCTTCATCAACAGCAAATGTTTCTGCAAGGTTCATGGACGTTGGCTTTCGTGCAAAGTGATAGCAAGCACAATATTCTATCGTTAAAGCCTGCAAAAGTAACCGCCACCATCGGCCATAACCTTTGCAGCTAATGCCCTCTGAGTGAGATCGTCTCGAAGCTTCACAAGCTGCCATGTGTGGACAAGTTCCTCCACATCGCAACAGATCTTGATTCTGTCACGCACGAAGAAGCCACGCAAGGGCAAAGTCAGTCTCGCTGCCTACAGAGGAGATGCAAGTCAGGCGCACCTGAAACCATGCGTGGCGACGCCTGCACGGCCAACGAAGCAAGCCAGCTGGGTCCAGGGAACAGGCTAGACCAATCAAGACCCTGCAGATATCGCCTGTGATTAGCACCCGCAGCACATCGGATGTCATTGCTGCGGGTCAATAGAACAGGCAACTGCCAGCACTCTCTGCCAGCTTCCTTTACAGCCAGATGGCCGAAAGCGACCACTGCTGAGTATCTAGCTGGGGCGACAGCAATCCGAAGACTCGTTGCAAGAACTTACACAAGATCAGGCATTCCGCCGCATGCCTCATCATGCATCAAACAGCATCCGCCTTCATTGCAAGCACATGCTCAACTGCTGATGCTGCGAGCGGAACAAAACTTTGCATAAAGGCTTGGATATTCAAGACAGCTGATACATGCACAGCCGACGATTGTCCCCGATGGACCTCTTAGGTGCTTGAATAAACCCGCCCTGTACATGTCGCCTGTGATTAGCACCCGCAGCACATCGGATGTCATTGATGCGGGTCAATAGAACAGGCAGCTGCTAGCGCTCTCCGCCAGCTTCCTTTACAGCCAGATGGCCGAAAGCGACCACTGCTGAGTATCTAGCTGGGGCGACAGCAATCCGAAGACTCGTTGCAAGAACTTACACAAGATCAGGCATTCCGCCGCATGCCTCATCATGCATCAAACAGCATCCGCCTTCATTGCAAGCACATGCTCAACTGCTGATGCTGCCAGCGAACTAAAACTTTGTATAAAGACTTGTATTCTAAGACAGCTGATACATGCACAGCCGACGATTGTCCCCGATGGACCTGTACATGTCGCCTGTGATTAGCACCCGCAGCACATCGGATGTCATGGCTGCGGGTCAATAGAACAGGCAGCTGCTAGCGCTCTCTGCCAGCTTCCTTTACAGCCAGATGGCCGAAAGCGACCACTGCTGAGTATCTAGCTGGGGCGTCAGCAGTTCGTGGACCCCCAGTTGCACAAGATCATGCATTCCGCTACGCACCTCATGGATTGAAATGATTAAGCTTCGTGTGTGCGCGTCGCGTGTATGCGTGTGTGGGTGCTGTGACACGTTTCCTCCATCCCTTATGGGTGCTTTGGTCTTAGTTTATGCCCTTGGTTCGGTCTTCTGGATGGATGAAGCAAGCAGTGGGATTCATGGCCTGGTCCATGCAGAATCGAGACAGCACTCCACAACTCCACAACAGAACAGAGGCGTAAATCCGGAGGAGACATGAAACACAACTTCAGAGAAATAAGGCATGACTCCGGCCGGAGAAACAAGGCATAAATCCAAACAAAATGCTAACGTTCATACGATGTCGGCCAATCGGATTTAGTTATGCCTTTTGTTGCCTCATGTTCTGCCATATTTGTGCAGGTAAATCTTTTTTGCTGTCGTTGCGCTCCCAGATGCGTATTACTCACCGACAGCAACAAAAGGCGCCCACAAAAAACAAAAAGCGCCCGGAGGACGGACGACAGTAAAAAGAAAATGCGCCCCCGCAGCGACAACAAACAACAATGCACCCCGCAAAGACAGCAAAAAAACAGAACACTCTTACTTACTGTTGTTGCGGGGGCACGTTTGTTTTTTCTGTCGTTGCGGGAACCGGGGTTCACTCACTCACTGGCTTCCTAGGTCCGCCAAACGAGAACAAAAACACACATAACGACAGCAAAAAAAAACACTGGTTCCTATTTGTGCCTTTTTCGAGGTGGACTTAGGCCCAGGCCCAGGCATCAGTTTTGGAGCCGCTATGTCTTTTCTAACCCACCTGCAACGCATGCAGCCTCTACTGGCTCTTTGTCAACCCTTCCACAGGCATGGACAAAAAGCAAAGAAAGACGTAATTTCACCCAGAAATGAAGCATAAACATAGATGACAAATAATAGGACATAAATCCCCCCAAAGAAGGCAATTTCACGTGACCAACAATAAGGCATTAATCCACCAGAAATAAGGCACAAATGACAACGAGAAAGGCATAAATGGCACCAGGGGTAACCCACTAGAGAGTCTAGCCAAAACGTGATAAAGCTCACCTGCAGATTATGCTGCCAATACAGACATGTTCCATAAGGCTTAGACATGTGTGGTAGATGCAAACTCAAAGAAGCTGATGCTGAACGTCGGACCTCTTGCATGCTTGAATAAGCCCACCCTGCACATGTCGCCTGTGATTAGCACCCGCAGCACATCGGATGTCATTGCTGCGGGTCAATAGAACAGGCAGCTGCTAGTGCTCTCTGCCAGCTTCCTTTACAGCCAGATGGCCGAAAGCGACCACTGCTGAGTATCTAGCTGGGGCGAACCCATAGGCTTGTTGGAGCCAGTAGTCGACATCGCTCCGGATGAAACGTATACATATACATACAGACACACTCTATCTCTCTCGGGGCATAAGGGGGCACCCACGTGGGGCGGAACGCCTTTGTTGGCTGTCTGCTTGGGTCGCTTTTGTGGTGGTGCCTGTGGGTATTCCACATCATGCAGCAGCAATCCTGTTGGTTTCAGCCCCCCCTCATTAGTCACTGTAGCAAGGCTCGACTGCCCCCTAGCCTGTTTGGATTGCCGCCCCCACTGTCCGGCTCTTTCATGCTTCCCAAGCCACTGTTGAACGCCAGAACACAGCATAAGCTCAAACAACATACATCACAGAATCATTTTGTGTCTCTCTCCTTCTTCTGCAAAGACGTGCTTAGGGCCTCGGAAAACCTCTGCGCGAGCGCTACGCCTTGGTTCGTGTCAGTCGGCGTGAGACGTGCGGTGCGTGGGCCCGGGCCCCGACTCCAGGAAGCACTGAGGGTCGTAACCCCCGGAAGCGGAACCAAAGAATGGGAACTCAACACCTTCTCTTGTCTTTCTCTCTTTTGCTGCCCTGTACTGGACGGTGCACTCTAGTTGGTAACGAGCAGCGATTCGGCAACAATCTTCTGTTTCTGCACCGAGCTGTTGCAGATGCAGCCGCTCGAAACTGATCAGAACCTTGGGCACACCCTGCGGCCGAATTCAAGCACTGCCTCTTTACTTTCTTGATCAACCAATCAACTCGCAAGGTTAAGGCATCTTCAACTGGCATCCCCCTACCATGCTTGGTGGCGGACTGTGCTGCTCAGCGCATCATGCCCGACCACTCGGACACCGAAGCTGCGGTCGATGATTACACCGGCACCTGGCCCAGAGTCGAGCTTCGAGCTTGACTGATGCTTGATGCATGGTTGATACGCAAGGGCGTTCGCACTGTCCTCGGCACTATCTCGTGAATATCTCTACTTCATAAGGGAAGCCTTCTGGAAGCACGCATGCATGCTCAATGAGTTTGGAACAACTGTCGAACAAGACCAGACACACCATGTTGTGAAAACAAACAAGGCCGTCATCGATTCTGAACCATGCTTTCAACTGTCTGATCTTTGTGCCTTGGGCACGGCGACCCGTCATATGCACCCGGCTGGTTCACTCTTT